TATTGTTGGGCAAAAGTCAACACGGTTTCTGTAAAGGGAAATCATGTCTTACTAATCTTTTAGAGCAACAGAGGGTCCTGTGTCACCTTTGAGACTAACAGAAGTATTGGGAGCATAAGCTTTCGTGGGTAAGAACCTCACTTCTTCAGATGCTCTTGCCCACGAAAGCTTATGCTCCCAATACTTCTGTTAGTCTCAAAGGTCCAACAGGACCCTCTGTTGCTTTTTACAGATTCAGACTAACACGGCTACCCCTCTGTTACTTAATCTTTTAGAGTTCTTTGAAGGGGTCAGCAAACATGTGGACAAGGGGGATCCGGTGGATATAGTGTACTTAAATTTCCAGAAAGCCTTTGACAAGGTCCCTCACCAAAGGCTCTTATGTAAATTAAGTAGTCATGGGATAAGAGGGAAGATCCATTCATGGATTGAGAACTGGTTAAAAGAGAGGGAACAAAGGGTAGGAATAAATGGTAAATTTTCAGTATGGAGAGGGGTAACTAGTGGTGTTCCCCAAGGATCAGTCCTAGGACCAATCCTATTCAACGACGATACTAAACTACTCAAAATAAAGACCAAAGCAGACTGTGAAGAACTTCAAAAAGATCTCACAAAACTAAGTGATTGGGCAACAAAATGGCAAATTAAATTTAATGTGGATAAACGTAATGTAATGTACATTGGAAAAAATAACCCCAACTACACATACAATATGATGGGGGCTAATTTAGCTACAACTAATCAGGAAAAAGATCTTGGAGTCATCATGGATAGTTCTTTGAAGACGTCCACGCAGTGTGCAGTGGCAGTCCAAAAAGCAAACAGAATGTTAGGAATCATTAAAAAAGTGATAGAGAATAAGATGGATAATATCTTATTCCCCTTATATAAATCCATGGTACACTCACATCTTGAATACTGCGAACAGATGTGGTCTCCTCATCTCAAAAAAGGTATCCTGGCATTAGAAAAGGTTCAGAGAAGGGCAACTAAAATGATTAGGGGGTTGGAACGGGTCCCATATGAGGAGAGATTAAAGAGGCTAGGACTTTTCAGCTTGGAAAAGAGGAGACTAAGGGGGGATATGATAGTGGTATATGAAATCATGAGTGGTGTAGAGAAAGTGAATAAGGAAAAGTTATTTACTTGTTCCCATAATATAAGAAATAAGGGGCCACCAAATGAAATTAATGGGCAGCAGGTTTAAAACAAATAAAAGGAAGTTCTTCACACAGCGTAGAGTCAACCTGTGGAACTTCTTGCCTGAGGAGGTTGTGAAGGCTAGGACTTTAACAGGGTTTAAAAGAGAATTGGATACATTCATGGAGGTTAAGTCCATTAATAGCTATTAGCCAGGATGGGTAAGGAATGGTGTCCCTAGCCTCTGTTTGTCAGAGGGTGGAGATGGATGGCAGGAGAGAGATCACTTGATCATTACCTGTTAGGTTCACTCCCTCTGGGGCACCTGGCATTGGCCACTGTCGGTAGACAGGATACTGGGCTGGAGGGACCCTTGGTCTGACTCAGTATGGCCATTCTTATGTTCTTATGATTCCCAACCTGGCAGTGATGGTCTGGTGGGGGTTCCGTGGCTGGTGGTGCTCTGAGGGGTATCTGGTGTCCCTGGTCAGGGACTCTGGGAGCTGGGACCCAGGGAATATCTGGTGGGACCCTGGCTCGGGGTTCTGCGGGCTGCTAATAACCGAGGTACAGGACATCACAGGGAGGTTAAAAATATGTCTGTTGGCTTAGCCTGGCAGGAGGGGCCAGGTCTACACTGTAATAAAGAGATCAAGCATTTTCCCAGTGTAGCAGAATCTAGGATGTCTGTCTGCAGGAAAAGAGCCTGGGGGAATTGTGATGTGAAATTAACTAAAGCCTGTTCTGAGAACTCCACAACTGCCTTTCTCACCCTGCCAGGCTGCAGAATGACGTCCCTGTTTTGCTCCAGTTCATCCCGTCCTCCCATGGGACAGAGGAGAGAAATGGCTGCAGAGGAGCCAGTTCAGGTAGCAATTATTGGGGGTTGCTGGTTTGTTCCTGCAGGAGTGAGAAGGACAGAAAATATACCGGAGATAGGAAGGTTTGCTCAGTCTGGGTTGGAGCAGTGCAGGAAATGCACAAGGTGGAGAAAGGGAGGAGTGCAGGGTGTGGCAAACCTGCTGGGAGTTGTTTAATAAGTGGCCTAGATTCTAGGAACAGGCCCAAGAGGTTCGGAGGTGGAAATGCTCTAATTTGTGGAACAGAAAATAACCCACCTACACTGGGCTAGGAAAACTGACCAGACTCTCAGTGCTGGAGCCTGAACTGACTAACCAACTGCTCTAAGATGTGAAGGGGGCACCCACCAGTCAGGCTTAGGGGAGATTCTCCTCCCTTCATATCCAGCTCCTCACAATGAGGAGTGTGTTGTGCTTCTTCCCAGAGAGCTCTTCCTGAACCCTGCTAGGGGCTCCATCTCCTGTATCAGTCTGTGACTAGTAGGTGTGTGATAGATCTTCTGGGAGAGACAAGGGGCTCTCTCTTCATCCCCTCACTCTGCTGATTCCTGGATCCTCTGAGTGGAGTGGGAGTGGGACTGTGTTGACTGTGAGTCACCCAGAGCTTCCATTTGATTGGCTCTTCTCCCCCACGAATAGTGGGGCAGCAGGTACTGAATGTGAGACTCTTGCTCTTTCAGAAGCTGGTGACCTTCGAGGAGGTGGCTGTTTATTTCACCAGGGAAGAGTGGGCTCTGCTGGACCCCGTTCAGAGAGCCCTCTACAGAGACGTCATGCAGGAGAATTATGAGAATGTGACCTCGCTGGGTAAGGATTCCTGTCCCGTCGGTTCTTGGAAGGGGAAATGAAAAGAGAAGATTCACGCCACCCGCACAAAGCCAACTCTACTTTGTCCTGTTTCAGCATCACCCCAATATGCCAGTGACACACACACTACCAGAGACCCTCCCCCACTGCAGAACACTTTGGGAACAGAGCACAGGAGTAGTATCGCACAGTGTGAAATATATATATAACAGAAGCTTCCTACCGCTGACCTTCTCTTCAAACACTGAGCCTACTCCACCCAGACCAGAATGTGCATGGGGTGTAACAAGCAGGCTGCTGGAGTCAGAGCTGCTGGTCCAGGGTTACTTATCACACAGACACTCAATGTGTCTTTGAATGCTGGCTGGGGGTATCCAGACAGGGGAGCTCCAGCAGCAGAACACTAAATCTCATCCAGGATTACAGATGACACAACTCCTCACTGCTCTGGATTGAACCCCAGCATGTGAAAATGGTTTAGGTTGGTAATGAAACTTCTTGAGACATGGAGAGTCTTGCTCCCCCATCACCATGTGTAACAGTCACAATCTCTCTTCTCTACAGGCTCCCTAGATTTTTGACTACCTCATTCCCAAAGTCACATGACCCCGATTCTTATTCTTTACATTCTGCTTTTCCAGACTAATTAGAGTCTGTTGCTCCTGAATTATAGCTTCTAATTTCCCAGTGTTCGCCACACCCAGGGATTTACCAACTCCCTCCTGTTACACTGGACTCACTAGATTCCTTAGTACATAAGAATGGCCACACTGGGTCAGACCAAAGGTCCATCTAGCCCAGTATCCTGTTTTCCAACAGTGACCAATGCCAGGTGTCCCAAAGGGAATGAACAGAACAGGTAATCATCAAGTGATTCATCTTCTGTCACCCATTCCCAGCTTATGGCAAACAGAGGTTAGGCCCACCATCCCTGCCCATCCTCGCTAATAGCCATTGATGGGCATGAATTTATCATGTTCTTTTTTTTAACCCTGTTACAGTCTTTGCCTTCACAACATTCTTTGGCAAAGAGTTCCACAGGTTGACAGTGTGTTGTGTGAAGAAATACTTCCTTTTGTTTGTTTTAAACCTGCTGCCTATTAATTTCATTGGGTGATTCCTAGTCCTTGTGTTATGAGAAGAAATAAATAACACTTCCTTATTTACTCACTCCACACCAGTCATGATTTTATAGACCTCTCTCATATTCCCCTTAGTCGTCTCTTTTCCAAGCTGAAAAGTCCCAGTCTTTTTAATCTCTCCTGATACAGAAGTTGTTCCATATCCCTAATAATTTTTTTTTGTCCTTTTCTGAACCTTTTCCAATTTCAATACAACTTTTTTGAGATGAGGCGACCACATCTGCCCACAATATTCAAGATGTCGGCATACTATGGATTTATGTAGAGTCAATATGATACTTTCTGATTGCCTCTGCACCTTGAGTGGATATTTTCAGAGAACTATCCACAGTGACTCCAAGATCCCTCTCTTCAGTGGAAACTGCTAATTTAGACCCTATCATTTTGTATATATAGTTGGGATTATGTTTTCCAATGGGCTGCAATATGTGCTATCCGGACATCTAGTACTGCCGAGATCCTGCATTCAGTAATATCCCTGCCCTTCCTGTTCCCTTTCTCCACTGAACCCTACCAGCCCATGCTTACTGTTCCCAGCTTCCCCAGGACTCTCTCATTGTCTCTGGACCTGTCTGTCAGCAAGAAGCAGTGCCAGGGTGACTTGCCCTCTCTCTGGAGACTTCAATTTCTGGGACATGGATTTAGTTTCTCGGTGTTTTAGGAGACTCTTTGAAATTGAGTGTCTGTGACATTAACCACAGTACAATCTGGACTGTTGAATAGCTGTGTCCCCTCAGTTCCCCAAGCTGGGGTGCCTTTTACACTGCTTTACTGTGAGAACAGCCACTCCTGGGCAGGTAACACATAGTCTCCAGCATGTAACTCTCTTCCAGCTACACAGTATTGAGTGCTGCTAGTTAGTGACTCACAAATTACAGTACCCCACAGGAGAACCCCAGAAAATTCTCTGGTCCCAGACTTCCCACAGAAATGTACATCTTGCCCTGTCCAGAACTCTACTGAACAAAGCAAGCTCATACGAAGTCTGTCATTTCATCAGTGGAAAATGACATGCGCCAACCTTGTAATCCAAACACACTGGTTAGATAGAACAATAAAACAAGATTGTTTAAAATCTTTTTTTGGGGGTGGGGTAGTTAAGTGACTATGGGTAATGAGGCATTAAAGTCAGAATTGTTTACAAAAGAAATGCAAGATAAAACACGAACTAATGTTTAACTTGACAAGCTAAAACGGATTCAAAGCAAGTGTTTCTCTCACCATATGCTGAGACAGGCTGGCTTTCCTTTCAGCCAGGACTCCCCCAACCCACCCCTGCCGCCCAAGTTCAGTTCTTCAGGAGTTTTTATGCGCAGAGGGAAAGGGAAGAGAGAGTCAAGCATTTTCCTCACCTCTTTTAATAGTTCAGTCCTTTGTACTAGAAACAACTTCAGTTCTCAGCTGAGTCATGGTGACAGGCTGTCTGTTGTAAATATGAGCTTCCAGTGGTCCCTATGAAGGAATGTAAATGTCTTCTTCACACCTTCCCCCTCCAGAGAATGGCTATTTGACCAGATGTATGCCTTGCTGTCTCTGAGGAACTGGTTTGTGGGTGTTCCCCAGAATTGTAACTTTTTCAGTAATATCATACAGTAAAATCTCATCACTTTAACATACAGTGTTGCTACACATTTTAACAGGAGGATAATATTCAGTAGATTATGCGTTTTCAAATGATACCTCACAAGCCAGACTATGTACAAAATTTATCATAATTTTCTAGAAGAGTGAACATAGGGGTACAGACTGACACAGTGTCTGTCTGTGTGTGTTCCCAGTAGATATATGTGTATTTCAATCCCTCATAAGCAGAGTGTTCGGCATCTTCAAGGAGCTGGTCCTGGGAATTTACTGGTTTACGAAGTGTGACACTGTATGGAATTGTGAGACACTTTATTATTTATTTTATTAATACCAGTATGATAAAATTGCAATGAATCATGCTAGATATGCCATGTAAGGTGTCAGTGAAAATGTTACGATTTTCCAGGTATGATAATTTTGTTTCTATGTTTTTTATCACCATTGTATTGTGAGTTATAGATATGCAGGGTATATCTGTATTTCCAGATTGTGCAGTGTTTCTAGGTGATACCCCCAGACATATTGGCATCGGCACTGCCTCGCCTGTTCAATGGCCCATTCAGGGTCATCAGCTGTACAATAAGCCCATGGAAAGGACCAAGGGGACGCACCTATTGAGTCAGCAAGACATGCGGGGTATGCCTGTGTACTGAGACCTCCAGGCTTTTCCATGCCATGTGCTGTGAGGCTTGTGTTTGGGATACAGGAAGTAAAAGCCACATGGCAAAAGGAATATAAAGGGCAGCAGCAGCATCTCCATTTTGTCTTCAATCCCTCTTCCTACCTCTGGAGCAACTTCTCAACAAACTGAAGCCTTGAACAAAGGATTGAATGATCCATCCAAGTTGTGGATGTGTTCCAGATGGACTTTCAAGCCAGCAACTCACCAATACTGCTAAGAACCTGATATATAGATTTCTGAATGTATCTGACCGCTTTCACATTTAACAACTTTTTGTTCTTTCTTTCATTCTTAAACCATGCTGACAGCCAATCCTTTAGCATACCCAAAATACCTTTAGTGTAGAAGATCCAAACCTATACTGACCTGCTAATGTGGCTGACCCTTGGGGTCAGAAGAACATCTTGTTTATGTGAGCAGAGTTTTTAAATAACCTCTCACTGTAGTGGACCTAGGTGCTGATTGGGAGTTAGAGAACTGGAATGCAATAAAGGGGGCAGTGGGTTGTTTTTTTCCAGCTTCTCAATAACCAGTGTGGGGGATCAGAAGCACAGTTTGTGACCGGTCGGTGAGTTTAACTTCAGTGTTAACCACCAGTTTTGGGAGCATCTGCTCTCCCTTTTTCAGCCTGCCCTGACCTTGGCATTTTCAGTGAGGACTACACCAGGTCACACTAAGCACTGAAGTTAAATTAATAGAATGTTTTTTATGACAATGTCTTATGAAATCACCTGAACTCCTTTGTTTTGTTTCATCTGAGCAGGGTTTCCAGTTTCCAAACCTGATGTGATCTCCCAGCTGGAACAAGGGGAAGAGCCATGGGTCCCAGACCTCCAGGGTTCAGAGGAAAGAGAGATCTTGAAAGCTCCCTGCACAGTTGAGGAAACATTAAACCAACTCAGAATCTGTAAGTACCTGAAGAACACATCTGGGATGCCCTACAAAGCCCTTGGGAGATGTCTCGTTTCATTATTGTTCCTAGCAGGGGTCGTATCCTCAGGGTAAATATAGCTCATGGCTTCCTGTAGTTCCTAACAGACATTCCTGCCTTGCCCCTGAGAATTTCAATGGGATGTGAAGGCTGAATTGATCCCCCTCCTCTCTTCTATTTGGGGGAAGAGTCTTGGGGGAATTCAGTTCCTGAATTTTATTTGACCCCTCTCCAGCACTTGTTTTGATTTGGTCTTCCCCTTTCCATCCCTATTTGAGGTTTCTGTCTCTGTCACAGCAGGTGATGCAATGGTATATGAGAATGAGGAGCAGAATTCTCAGCCAGAAAATGTTGAGCAAGTGGATAACCACAGAGCATTATCACCAAGATCAAAAAGGAATTTGTCCAGGAGTCTTGATCAGGGAAAATCTTGTGAAATTCAGCACAGACCAGAGAGAGAGCAGGGAAACCAGCCAGGGGAGAAAGTGGGTCAATTTATTTCCTGTTGGGGAACTCAGAAGGGCGTCAAGGAAACCACAACACAGCAGGAAATCCTCAGGAGAAAGAGGAAAAATACATGCACTGAGTGTGGGAAAAACTTAACTCAAAGATCAGGCCTTTCTGATCATCAGAGAATCCACACAGGGGAGAGGCCGTACGAATGCACTGAGTGTGGGAAAAGCTTCACTCAAAGATCAGGCCTTTTTCGCCATCAGAGAATCCACACAGGGGAGAGGCCCTATGAATGCAGTGAGTGTGGGAAAAGCTTCACTAGCAGCTCAGCCCTTTCTGAACATCAGAGAATCCACACGGGAGAGGCCCTATGAATGCCACGTGTGTGGAAAATGTTTCACTACCAGCTCAGACCTTTCTAAACATCAGAGAATCCACATAGGTGACCGGCCCTATGAATGTATTGAGTGTGGGAATACTTTCTCTTGGCACTCAGCCTATATTAGCCATCAGAGAAGCTGCAATGGAGCTTAACATCATAAAAACGTCTAAGTCAATCAATATTTTTTTTCTTTAATACTTTTCCTGATTCCCACATAGTAACTTTTAAAGCTGTTTGAACTGTTTGCAGCACTGTTATCCCTCAGCTTGTCCAGATGAGTGGCCCATTTTTGCCTTTTGCAGTTTGCCCTCTTTTTAGGTGGACCTATTTGTCCTTTCTATTGTCCCATGAATAATCTGAGTGTGCTCTTCCTATCAGGAACTAGGGAGCATCACAATTCTCCTATTGTAAAGTTATTGTTAGAGTCACCAATGATACAGTTTGATACAAATGATACAGATCGTATCATTTCCAGTTGTTCTCATGTTGCTCTGGGTTTTGCTGAAGAGCAGTTATATTGGGAACTTTTCAAATTATATTTAAATGAAGAAGAGCAGGGGTCAGAAAAAAAGAGGAGCTGGGACCCCAGACCAGGGGTGCAGGTGGGAATGTGTGGGGGGTGCAGGAGCTCCTGTTTGGTGCTCAGGGTGGGGGTGGGGA